TTCTAATCGAATTTTCTTTTTCATAATCCTTGGGAAAATACGTGTTGAAATTATTTATCAATGAAAAACACTGATTTTTGATGTCGGATGCAAATTCATCTTTTATTTTCAAAATATTTTCAGTTAGAAAACATTCTGAAAAAGGCTCAAAAGCTTAAAATATTATTATCCAATTCTTTGATTATTAGAGTTTTTTTTTTTTTTTTTTTTATCATTGCATTTATTATATCTCTAATGGTAAACAATATTAACACTTTTTCCTTGTAATCCTAAATTTAACTCGTTTAACTTTCCAAAAATGTCAGCTAAATATGTTAAACGCGCCAACCATAATTCCCTAAATAAACAGTTTTGCAGTTCAAATTTTGAGTCACAGAGTAAAATTTGAATTTCTGATTAAAGTTCAAAAAGACAATTAGAAACTTTGCCTCTGGATAACCACCTTACTTCAGAATGTAACAAAAATGTTTCATGTTCGCTGTTCATCGCTTGGCATAAAATCGCAAATGTTCTTGAATTTAAAGCTCAGCTTAATTAAATTAATAAAATTAAGAATTTTCACAGCTTGATTCAAAATGGTATTCAAATTTTTGAGAATTGTTTTGGCTGCTAAAGCTTCACAATGAATGGAGCAGTGAGTAAATTTAGTTTCAGATGCAACTTTCTTTATTTGAGGAATAGCACCAGAATATTTTCCTGTTAAATCCCGAGCTCCATGACTGCATATGGCAATGTGATTATTCCAAAGAATATGATTCTCAGACATAAAATTGTCAATTACTTTGAAAATTTCACTTACAAGTTGCTCTATCATGAAGAGATTCACAAAATAAATACTATTTGGCAGTTTGTTTATTTTCTTCGAAACGTATGTAAACTAATAATTGAACAAAGCTCATTACATCAGTACCTTCATCCAATTGCAGTGTGAAATACTCACTGTGTTTTATTTTTTTGAATAAGTGTCACTTTTATGAAATTTGCCATTTCATGAATTCGTCGACTTACTGTCTCATTTGATAATGGAATATTATAAAGGTCATTAGCCACTTTTTTGTTGAATGATATTAAAATGATATCTTGAGCTGCTGATAATATATGGTTTTGTTTGATAATGTGAGCCTGCCTAGTCTTGGCATTCTTAAGCTTACTAGGTAACTAGCTTCCAAAGCTTTTTGTAGAAAGTAAACCTACCACTTGATTGTAACAAAACCTTTCATTGCTTGTTTACTATTTTTTAACTCTTTGCTTGTTTACTTCTTATTGCTTGTTTATTATATTGATAATAAAATATTCTTCAGATTTATCCTTTAAATTAGCATGCTCAGATTCAAGATGTCTTTTAAGAAACAATTGTTTCATACTTTGATTGGATAATAGTTCACCGCAAACAACACATTGAGGTTGAGGATCCATTTCATTCCATTCCAAGTAAACCCAAATGATAACTTTCATTATATTTTCAGTATACAATTTTTTTTTTCTTTTCAATATTCTTAGTGATAGTAGATTGTCCTGGATCCATCACCTGTGAATCATCACTTTTCTTCTTGCTCAATTCGAGCAATTTTTACTTCCTTGTACAAAGTAAAGGAAGTATTGTAATCATGAAAAATTCAGGGTATCATATTTCAATAAAAATGTTCATCTTGATGGCTAGTCAGGGCTATACCGAGCAGGGGTGCAGCGTGTAAAAATATGCGAGTGGCAAAAATCAGGGGTAGCTGGACTCTTATGATAACACAAATAAATATTTTCAATTTACTTGCTTAATTGTTTGTACTTTTTACATAGTTTGTTTTATGCAAGTACTTAGTAAGTATAGTAAAAATTTTATTAATCATTGAGTATTTTTTTTAAATTTGGGGGAGGCAATCTTGGGAAAGTACCTGAGCAGCTAGTGGCCTAGGATTGGCCCTGTGGCTAGTGAATGCAATTTCACAATGTTTTTGCATGACATCTGTATGTAAGGACAGAATAGAATAAAGGGTTCTTTTTCCCCAAAAGATTTATAAAACGGATTTAAAATAGGCTCAGAAGAGAGTTATCAATGAAATTTTTAAATTCCTTTGTGAAAGATTCCTTTCTTAATTTTTCTAAGCTTTTTAAATAAGACTGAAGAAATTAATATATTTTTATTGTCTCTTTCTGCAAGAGAAACATTAAAGCAAAACTAGATGTAATTAGGTTAGATAATTAAATTAGACGTATTTAGAGGGTCAGATGTAATTTTTAAATTTCTAATTACAAAATAAAATATTTTTTTGCAGAAGTGAAATACAAAAATTTAAAATAAAATTAAATAAAATTATTATTTCAAATAAAATTTATCGGTGAGGCTTAATTCGGTTTCTTTACAAAATCAAGTAACTTCTATTTTTGGAGCCAAATTAATATTAATTTACACACTTTTGTCACAAGTGAGATTTTAACTTCCTTTATATACAGGGTATACCGTAAATGTTGCGACAAACTTCTAGGGGAGGTTAGGCATATCATAAGGATTAAGAATTGTATAGGAATACCCGAAAATGTCACGGGTAAATGGTATCAGAGGTAGAAGATGGGAAAAGAAGCAAGAGTGATTAATTTGAAACATTTGTTGGACATGAATACAAATGGTGTATGACAGCTTGAATGTTACAACAAATGCTCACGGTTTGCACGATCAGACGGCAATCATGCCTGACACCGACGGACCATTTGAATGCCGCGAATTATTTGATCTTTCTAGAGCATCACCTTTCCGATTTGCTTGGTGATGTTCTACCAAATGTAGCATGTGATTTCAACATGATGGGGCCCCTACTCATTTTGGAATAGATGTTTGTACTCATTTGAACAGATCATTCCTGCAACGATGGATTGGGTGTGGTGGACGAGTTCCCTGGCCCCCACATTCAACCAGATTTCTCGAGCCTTGATTTCCTTTTGTGAGAAGCCATCAAAAGTGTTGTGTATCACAATCCTGTTGTACCTGAAATTGATTTCGTGGCAAGACTCGTCTAAGCAGCTACTACAATCAAAGAAATTCCCAGTGTGCTTGAATGTGTCTGGCAATAAATGGTCCTTCGGTGTCAAGCATGTTTGGCATCTGATGGTGCAAACTTCAAGCATCTGTTGTAACATTCAAGCTGTCGTGCACCATTTGTATTCATGTCCAATAAATGTTTCAAATTAGTCACTCTTGTTTCTTTTCCCATCTTCTACCTCTGCTACCACTTACCCCTGACATTTCTGAGCATGGGTCCTGTGCAATTCCTTATCCTTATGATGTGCCCTACCTCCCCTAGAAGTTTGTTGCAGCATTTACAATGCACTCTGTGTATATATATATATATATATATATATATATACTCACCCGGCTACTCGGCTCAGTGAGCTGAGTTTTTTTTATTTTTTATTATTCTTATATGTTGGTAAAATGTGCATTTTTTGCTTTAAAAATGATTGAATTATATTGTTCTTATTTTCCGGTTAAGGTTTTTATGTCATTAGTTAATCTGCATGCTATAGTTGTAGAATTATCAACAATTTAAATGTAAGTGCAGCTAAGCCCCCCCTTTTTTTTACCATAACACCCATATTTGTTTACATTTGAAACTTGGCAGAATAGGGAATTAAGTCTGTTTCTTCATCTTCAGTGTCTTTTTGCCGAATGGGGGCAAAAGGAAACTTTTAGTTTTGTGTACCAAAAAATCTGCCTTCTGACAGAATTGCTTGTTTTTGCATAGAAACTCTAATTTTATTTGTAAAAATTAGTTTTTAAAAAAATTTTTTTACTGTATTTGGTGTTGTATGTTTTTCTATGCTTTTCAATTTTTAGTAAAGCTATTTTGAGGTTTTAGGTATTTTTACCTGGCCACAAAGTGAGAACTGAATTAATTTAATGAGAAATCTATCTCTAATGTAATTCAAGGAAATAAGTTTAAATGAAATGCAGGAAAAAATGCATATAATTGAATATTCCATACAAGGAAGTCATATGGTGTACCCATCAGATTTTTTCATTTTGAAAATTTGAGTTTGTTTTATTATTTTTTTCACGAATATTTAAATGCACAGTATATTGCAAGTTCTTCAAAAACAAATGCCGATACTCTCAAATCGCGTAGAAAAAGTAAGGTATATAAAGCTATAAGAAGACAGAATACTTATTGTTAAAGAAAGCAAATTGACATAAAAAATTATTCTAATTGAAAATACAGCAATGTGGGTCTGGAACAGTAGCTACAAAAAGTGTAGACATACTAATAAATCGATCAGTTCTAAAAGAATTAATGAGGTACTATTATCTTTGCATATCAAGTTAATTTTTATTTCTTATTAAATACAACTTCCATTTCTAATACTCCTTTTAAAAACATCAATTATAACAAATTTTGTTATGTTTGTGGCTAAAAGAATGTTTGTGAAAATAAAAATGTATCATTTTGCTAAAATCTGTGAGCAGCTGTTAACTCAAAGCTCAGATCGCATAAATTTCAAGTGATAGAGAAAAAACTTAAACAAGATAGTAAGGGATTTAATTTTTGAATTCATTAGCTAGAAATTCTTTGTTTCTTTGCATACCACCTATTTTTCTCTTGCATACCACCGGTTTGGAATCGCTGCTCTAGAGTATATAGGCTTGTAACATATTTTTCTCCTTTTTCATAAGTAATACTCCTTTTTCATAACTAAATAAAATTTTGCAAATTTGTGTATACATATTAAGTAAAGTTAGGAGAAGTTGTAAAACATTTTCAGCCTAAGCCCACAAATAAAAATGTAGTAATCAAAAGTTAAAATGATGGCAGTTTTTTCCATGGTGTTAAAACATTTTTATAACTAGAAGCATGTATATATGATCCATGGTTCCAAAAATAAAGTCTATATGAGGACTTTTATGGATGCGGTATAGATATTAGTCAACATTATTAGTTTTATATATTTTTGTTTGTTCCCAAGCAAAACTTATTAAGTTTTTTTTTAGGAATCTTACATTTTTTTCTTTGCAGATATTATTTTTCTGCTTTGAATTCTTAAAATTTATCTCTTCTGATGATTTTTCTGCCAAGAAAAGGTACTTGAAATATTTATTTTTTAAAACTGTTTCTTAAAAGTATAAAAAATTTTTTTTAGCATTTTGAATTGACTTATACTGATAAGCCAAAACATTACGACTGTTCTCACATTTTTCAATGAACTTGTCTGGATGATGTTGAAGGCACATGATTAAGTGGGAATGGTATTTAACTGCTGCTTGGAGAAGGTAATTATTCTTGCACTTACTTTTGCGAGTGAAGGGAAAGGCTGCTGATCTAAGTGAATTTAATAGAATTGTAGTGGCCCGAAGACTCCGAACGAGTATATCAAACTGCATGACTGGTAGGTTGTTCACGATCTGCTGCTACTAGTATTTATGGAAAGTGGATAAATGGTGGTGAAACCAGCAGTAGATACCAAGGTGTTGGAAGTTTACATGCCGTCGAAGAAAAAGGACGTCAGAGACTGCCTTTTTTGGTACAGCAAAATCAGCACCAGGCAGTGGCTGATCTGATGGCCACTGCCTGGTCATTACAATGCAGGTCCTAGTGCAAGTGTTTTGCAACACACAGTTCAGCAGACATTGTTGGATATTGGACGGCGCAAACAGACGTCTCAACGTCCCACTTGTGTGCCTCTGTTGACCAAACGTCATTATCAACTATGCCTATAGTGGGCCCAGGATGATACACAGGCTGTTGGTGGCAGTAATATTATGGTTTGGGGGGGTGCTTTCATGAGCAGTTCTGGGTTCCTTATTTGTAGTAGGTCAGACTGTGAAAGCTGTGGACTATTTGAACATAATTGTGGATCACTTGTACCCTTACATGTCATCTGTCTTCCCAATTGGAAATGGAATCTTCAGCAGGACGATGCTCCATGTGACAAGGCTCGAATTATGTTGAAGTGGTTCTAGGAGTATAAGAATGAATTTCAATTAATTTCCTGCTACCTGACTCGCTGGATCTTAACCCAATAAAGCACATTTCGGATGTCATGGAGTGGCAGCTCAGAGCTCAAATACCACCGTGTCAGAATATCTCAACTTTGCATGACTGCTGCTTAGACATTTGGTACAACCTGTCACCAGTCATCTACCAAGAACTTGTATCCATGCCTACCATCCGTGCCAAGGCAAGTTGCAGCTGTTTTGCTGGCTAAAGGTCATGCAACATGTTATTGAGTAGGTGGTCATAATCGGTGTATATATTAATCTTACCTAATTTATACTTTTAACAGTAAAACTAATCTTCAATGAGTAGGTGTTCATAATCAGTGTATATATTAACATCAGTGTATATATTAATCATTGTTGAGTATGTTGTCATAATGTTTTGGCTCTTTACGCTTCATTCAGACAGTGGTATAAATGTCACAGAGCCATAGTCATAAGGCATAAAATGTGGGACTTCCATTCACGCTGTGAGACAGGTCTAAGGCGTAGCCAATTAAAGAAGCTAAATTTGTACATGCGTGGATGTGTCTACAGATTTCCTGCTTAGTGACCTTCAAGTGACTCTGATTTCACTCTGATTTGTTAACTCTTATATCAAGTCTACATAAAGTTGAAAACTTTGAACTTTATGCCAAAACCCCTAAACCAGTTTTTGTGACGTAGCAAGGTCTGGTCACCTAGCAACAAAGCTTGGCTTAAACAGTTACGACATTTATACCACTGTCTGAATGGAGCCTTAGTGTATAGTGAGCTGTATTATGCATTAGTTTTTTGATGAGGGGGTCCATAGTGAACAACTTTCAAATGGACTTTTACTGTGAAAACATTGTAAAGATTAATCACTGCCAAGAAAAATAAAGAATCAGAATATTGCAGTATAAAAATATAGTCATATAAATTATGAAGCATAACAGTAACAAAATGTTTTAAAATTTTGACTTCAGAGAAGTATACAGAAGGCATAGAAGCCCTGTAGCACACTTGCAAGCACATATTTTAAGGATTTGAATTAGACTGAGGGTTTGATTCCTAAATCCATCATATTAAATAGTGTATAATTTTTAAGTGCAGTTCTATGAGTAAAGAACATTTTACATTTTAGATATCAACATCACTTTAAAAGGATAATAAAAAGAATATCTTAAAAAAAGTAAGTGCTAATGCCTGTCCCTCTGATAAAATACTTTTTCTCTTTGCTTAGTCCTATATACTACTTTCTAATATCTGATTTCTGCACATATAATAGGCACCTTCTCAATGCTATGACAATTTTGTAGCTGAAAACTGTGTAATGCGTCTGAATTGGATTGATCAGTGTTATTTTGATGTACATTAGCTGCAAGCAAACTAGTCACAAATGCTAAGATAATTGCACAGCATAAAAAGAAATGTCTATTTTTAAAATTATCTTGAAATGATAAATGATCGTTACTCATTCGTAGACAAGTTATTTCGCAGAAATTTTCTTTTTTGTTTGTTTTTCTTCCTTTAGAGAGTTTTCTGTTTTTATGCCGCCCAGACGGCATAGTGGACTGCGGTACCAAAGGGTCTGGGTTAATATCTCGGAGAAGGCATGGATGTAAATTGTCTATCCCTTCATAGGAGGTAATGGTAGCTGCCTATTAGGTGCCTCCATAACAAAATGACTTGTTACTTCTGACCTTAGTAGTGGCGAAAGCCTAAAAATGGCTAGTGCCCACCATAATTAAAAAAAAGTCTTATAGTTAACTTTTTGGTTACGTTTAAAAAAAAATTCTTAAAAAGGACAGGTATTTGCAATTTCTGACTGGTAATTATACAATAATGTAATGGCAGTATAACTAATGGTTTAAAGATTACTACAATTATTATTTAAATCTATTTCTCAAATTCTTGAGTGATTGAAAATTACATGTAAACATAAGTAGAAATTAGGAATGTGGTTATATATTCATGAATTAGAATAGAAATATATCAACTAAGATGATATGATTTAGTAAAAGAAGTGGAATATTGTTTCTCAAAGAACTGTTCTGATGATTCTAACATTTTTCATACTGTTTACAGCTTGTAGAGCTCTCTTTGAAATCTTGTTGCTTATTGTTTGTTGTGTTACTCATTGTTATACACAAAGCCAATAACAGAGGTCAGAGCAGAGTAGAAGTGAAATTTAGGATGTGGCTGAGTCCTGATGTATCAAGACCCATACACTGAGATTTTGAAAGCAAGTGTTGCATGCTTTTTGTTGCGTGCAGCTTTCTTATTATAAAAGATAATGGCTGCTGAGAAAAATTCTTTCATTTAGATAGCATTGCACAGCTTTTTTTCCTGCCTTTCGCAACACCAGTCACCACTGATGGTATTTTGAGCTCTAAAAAGCTTTCCAAAAATCATATCCAAAGAAACTCAGGAAACATCATGATCTGTGTCTTTTTTTTTTTTTTTTTTTCTGTAATATAATGTTTTCACAGCATAGGAGTTTTCTTGCTGGTGGAAATGAAATGTTAAAGCCACATATTTCTTACTAACACTTTCTGCACATATAATACTTACTAACAGTTCTTCAAGCCCTGTTTGTCTTTAGCATTCTATTATTGGAATGTCAGATTGGTCATGATGGGTATGAATTGTGATTTATGAGTAATTTATGTGTATCTGGAACAAACCTTGAAGTACTGTGAACATATATTAGGATGAATGGAGTGGAATGGAATATCAGTCATTTGAGCATTGATCTTGTTTGCTTAAGATGATGTCAAGATGCTTTTACATTGTCGCTATAAATTACCTGCTGAGTTCTCATTTATTCATTCTCATTCTCTGAACTGTAAAAACAGATGTAAATACTATAGAACTTCAGAATTGAGAAGTCAAATTTTATGATTAGGAGAGAAAATATATCTAGGGAGAGTCCAAGTAATTTTTGTAATGAGTGGAATTAAGAAGACAGAGTATTATAATTTCTTTGATTAAAGAAGTGTTCTTTTTAATAGAAATATGTTATGAAAATACTTTTTGATAGCTTGAACAATTGACTGAAGATTTGAATTAATTGAATAAAATAATTTAAATAATTAAATTCTTGAGTGATAACAGTATGTGAGAAATAAACATTAAATGTATGAAAATTGCAAGAGTATCATCATTATTATTATCATTAACAACAGCATGGTAAAATTTGGCTTGAGAAAGTCAGTCCACCTGTATAGCATCTAGTATGAAGTGTACTGAAATTTTATTGCTTGCTATTAAAATAAAAGAAAAATAATTTATATAATTAAGAAATGAATTTATTGACATGGAGATTAGTTAAATAAATTAGAATTTTTAAAGTATTTCGTTTTGTACTGTTATAATGAACAAAGGTATAATTCATTTTGCAAACTTCACTGCCATTCTAGCTTAGAAAGATTTTTTTTTTCAGCTTAACAGCTTGTTGGAGGAAACCTATGATGTAAAATGGAACTTCTGCATTAATTATTTCTGTGTTAATCTCTTTGCATATTATGTAATTGTGTTTCATGTTATACCAGTGCCTGCGTGTCAGTGTTATATGTAAATAAATATTGATACTTTTTGATTATCAGCACCCTTGCTGAAAAGTCATGAACTGTTTGCTAACTTTGGAGAACATTCATGAACTTATTGCTGACCATTCTTTTTGCCAAACTAATATGTGAAAGGTAACAGCCATTTTCAAAATGGTGCCACACTCTGGATTTTATACGAGAGCAATAAATCAATAACAAAGCAAGAAATATTGTTAAAAAAACTTATTTTTTAAAAATAAATCCTTCTTCCCATGCACACGGTGACGTTTTTGCTTAAAATGACTTCAGATAATTGTGCAGACGTATCATCCATGCAATTCAGCATGGCATGCTGGCCAAAATAGAAAAATGAATGCCTTTTGGTGACTGAGAATTTCCTCATAGCTCTTTTACCCATGTGCTGCTTTGCCTCATAAATACTTTTTCACAATATTTCGGTGGGGGTGCAGTCAATCATTAAAATAACGAAATTTCTTTTTTTTTTTAGGGTCTAAGTCAAAAAAAAAAAAAAAAAAAAAAAAAAAAAAAAAAAATAATAATAATGAATATTTAGTGTCGTACTTATTTACTTTCTTTTTGCGCAAAAGCATTTAATTCCTTTGTATCTTTATTGGAGTTTCTAATTATTATTTATCTTGAATAGAAGCCGAAAAATAAGTAACAACTGTGCTACTGATAATCCATTGGACATTTTAATTGGTAAGGTTCTTAAAATGATATTTTGAGTATTTCAATTTTTGTAATTATTTGTATAATAACTTCAGTGACTATTTGTGGAATTTTAAGAGAGTATTTCAAAGTGTTAAGGTAGTAAAGTCTATGTGTGAAGTAAAACCATTTAAAAAATTAATGTTCAGTTGATTTAAAGTAATTTATCAATACTGTCTAGTTAAGATATGTAGATATATTAGTCTCCTTTAATCTTATTCAGTCATCATGCAGCTGTTTTAACCTGATTTAGAATCTTGATAATTACGTTAATATTTCTAAATATGTGTATAAAAATCCTTTTTGGAACTCAGCCTTTTTCTTGTTACCCATAGTAGGCATTTTACTGCATTAACATTGGAATAAAAAAATATTATAGTAATCTTATCAGTTGGATTTTACTAATTAGAATTCTAATTTTTTTAAGACTGTTTGGATGTTTTTTTTAAGACTGTTTGGATGTCGAATTGGGCTAATTTACTATTTTCCGCTTACTTTTTAACTTTTTCTGTTATTTAATTTTATTGTATTTATGTTTTACATGTCTAATGATTTGCTTTTCATGTGTATTAATTTTTGAAAACGTCTTCAACCTTTTGGAGCAGCAGCTCTTGGTAACTTTTAGGCGAGCTTTCTACAATTTTTATTATACAGATTATATATATATCTGTAGTATTGAGAGATTCTCCATATTATTTTAATGATGTTTGTAATTGGCAATATCTTTACGGAGATAATATTTAAGGAAATATTGCTTACTACAATTATTTAAAAAAATTTACCTGAAATATAGGTAAATTGCTAGACGAGGTACTACAGTTCCATAGGAAATTGCTTTAATATGTAGTATAATTCCTTATGAGTATATAAAGGCCCGTCTACACGTAGGGATTTCCTCGGCCGACAATATCTGAGGTAGCTTGCCTGTCCACATGGAACAATTTTCTTGTTAGTACAGGAATTCACTCAGCCAATCCCTGTGAAAGGAAATGTTCCCGCCCTCTACAGCGTCACTCTGTCTATGATTTGTAAACAAATCTTACGGTGTTGTCAATAGTCAAAATAATGGATGACTATTTTACTTTAAATTGCTACTACAGCTACAGCTACAATTCTGAACTTAGCTACTGCTGCAGAAGGGAAAAAAAGAGAAAATGCATTTGGACCAGAAATTGGGTAAAATGATGAGAAATTCATGGTGCACGTAATACCCTGAGTTGCATATTGAAGGAATGGTGGAATTCGGTATGTATTTACGGATGATGCCGTGTGATTTTGATTTTTTTGCTAAATTTAGTTTTAGCAAAATTAAAAAAAATTATGCTTTTACTTTGTGTACTAAGTGTGAAGATTACTCCTTTTTTTAATTTTAATTTTCATTTTCTGGCACTTCTATTTCTGCACTTAAATCTTGAAATAATAAAATAACCATGTTTCAGAAAAGTAACTACTGTGCTTTAAATCAAAACCTTTATTACTGAATAAATAAACAATAATGTTATGAAAATCAAACCAATATGAGTAAAAACTAGTAATAAAGAATAAAGATAACTACACTGCGAAGCAACACTGTAAATTAAGTGCAAAAATTTAAAATAAGAAATATCATAAAGGGGCAAAGTAGCATATTATTGAACATTAAAAAACTAATATCAGCATAATTAAATAACTAATACACTTTGAAAACTCTGATCATATGACTCTATCAGTTACTCAGCTAATAACATTTAGTAATATTGTATTAAATTGGGCTGTAATTTGTTTACACTAAACTCATTTAACACAAAACTGAGTTTGTGACTTTCTTTTGAGCTGGTACGCACCTACTAAAGAGTTTTCACCAGTATATCTAAAATACATGCTAAAGGCCATTCAAAAAATAAAAAGAAAAGGGTTAAAATTAAATAAACACCACACCCATAGGCGAAAAAATAAAAAGTGACTTTTAAGTCATGCAGTTCGAATTTAGTAATGGAGAAACGAAATTAAGAGGTCCTTGCGGGCACAGAAATTTCAAAATTAAGATGTGGGATCGAATCCACGTTCTCGATATCCGGAGAAAAATCTCTCTGCTCTTTACCATTGAGCCACGATCACTCGTATAGGGTTGTTCAGGTATGCTATGTACTTCGTCACATGATTAACTCCCATTTTCGGTGAAGTGAATGAGTCTCTGCGCTGCTTTAAATCCAGCTCGTAATTTCTTGACTGGAGATTTTGCTTTCTGAATTTTTTCAATAAGTGCAACCATAGTTTACCATAGTAGTTTTTGAATGTTTTCATCTAGTACCCCTGACATGGCTTCATTAATAGTTTTTAGAACTTTTCTTGGGGGAGTTAAAATGATTTTCATCCCGAATAGAAAATATTTGAATATATAAAGTAATGCGAAAGACAAAGCTTACCAAAATAAGAGAATCTCTTAATTTTTTATTTTTTAAATTTACATTACTTGTGTCCCACAACACAACATTTTCTATATAGAAATCTATTAGTGAAAAATTTGAGTTTCCAACGAAATACAGCCATGTTTATTATTTATTCCAAAATGAGAAGAAAAGCATGTGATCACTCAAAGCAATCTTATTGGCTAGAGACTACAATTTTATCGTACATGAACGCAGTGAACACCAGTTCTGAAATCATGGCATAGAACATGACTGATTTTTGGTGCATATGCAGATGCTTAAAATTGTTGCTCTACCAGAAAGTCGGCCGAGAAAATCGCTTTGTGTAGACGGGCCTTTAAGTCTTTATTGAGGATAGGGGCCTATTCAACAGCCAGCTATATAGCGCTAAAAAAAAAAAAAAAAAAAGTTTTGGCAAAATTTTAGCCAGTTTCATTCTGCTCCCATGGTCTATAAAACTTTTTGTGTACAAAGCTGATTTTTTGATGACATTCATAGCTAGCTCTTCATGTAGATTGAAAAGGGACTGAATTCCCTGATTTTAACAGAAACTGTCCTCTAGAGGTATTATTGTTAAATGTGTAGGTAATTTTCTAATAAAGCCATGCCTCACATTTTAGGCACCAGATTGATGCATTTTTGCTTATTTCTTTTCCTATGCCTTTTACTTTTACTTAGACAAAGTAGAATGAGCAGGAAGAGCAAGAAGGAATATGCTGTAATTTTGCAACAAAATCCTCCAAAAAGACCTGTTGTAAGGAAGAATACTGCCTATGTTATTCTTTTCTTTTGTGATTTAGTTTTCATTAATTTCCACAGTTTTGTTTTGTCCATAGATTTTGACTTTTGGATGAGCTAACAGGGAATTATTTCATACCCTGTTACCAGGGAATACCCTGTTAACAGGGAATTGTTTCATACCCTGTTGTATTTAATTATTCCAATCAACCATTGTGTTGCAATAAATTTAAAGCAAACTTTGTGGCTCCTTAGAAAATCGCATGAGAGTAATGAAATGAATGTGTGATCCATATTTGTATTTGAACACCCTTTTTTCTCGGCATGAGTTAAGGCTGCATAGTCATTTCAGCTTTGAGTCATAATTTTTTTTTATGAGGTGTTTATTCAAACACAGCCTTTCTTTGTGAAGAACATCTCTTTTTTGAAAAAAGTGGTTGTCCACTTCTTCATCTCTTGGTGAATCCAAAGTTGTAGATCCCATTGCAGTGAAAGAAGTACATCCAGGAAAAAAGTCAAACCAAACTTGTGACACCTTGCCCTGAAAAATTATGTGTAGACAAATGAAGTTCCAGATAGTTTGGATTTAATGGAAAATACCAATAAGTAACTGTTCCTTCTTAAATGTCAGCTTATAAAAAGTGGAAATATTTCTATATTCCTGTTTTTAAGACATTCAGAATCTTCCTTTTCGGAATAAGTTATAATTTGGTGATAGCCAGTATAATATGAGGCATGCTTAGAAAGTGCTACTTATTTGATATTAAAGAACGCTAGAAGTGTAATGAATGAAAACCTGTGATCCCCCTTGGTAGCAATATTGGCTGCTACACTGATTGGGCCGTGTTCAAATCTAGGAGAAAGATGGATGTTTGTAAATGTATAGGGTCAGTACAGCAGGAGAGTTCTTAAAAGTATTAGCAAGCTGAAAGTCCTTTTGAGTAGTTTTATGGTGGAGGATCCTCAGACTGCTGCCTGGGATATTGTTTCTCAAAATTGGGGTGAAACTGCATAGTTATGCAGGACTTCTGTATGACCATTAGTGAATTTTTGGTGTCCTGTTCACTTCTATCCGTACCTAGTGTGGGAAGAGGGATGAGTGTCTCTCGGACCATCCCCTAGGGTGCTCTGAAACAAAATGTATAGAGCCGCAGAATAAGTGCAATGGGACTATACCTGTGTAACTAATAGTAGAATTCTAGTTTCTCCAACCATTTACATCAGTGCTTGAAAATACATATCATAATTACTATTCCATTTAACAGCTCATGATGCTGAGATATTTATCACACTGTGTGACCAGGTTTTGTTTTCATCCCTCATAAATTTTAATTCTGCAAGCAACAGGTTATGTGTGATCACATCAAGTTATTTGTGATCTTCTCAAAAATTTTAATTCTGCAGCATAATACTGCACCTGTGCAACTAATAGTAGAATTCTAGTTTCTCTAACCGTTTACATCAGTGCTTGAAAATACATATCATAATTACTATTCCATTTAACAGCTCATGATGCTGAGGTATTTATCACACTGGGTGACCAGGTTTTGTATTCATCCCTCATAAATTTTAATTCTGCTAGCAACAGGTTATGTGTGATCACATCAAGTTATTTGTGATCTTCTCAAAAATTTTAATTCTGCAGTATAATACAGTATTCTTCTGCTAAGAAACTGGCATCCTTTGGCAAAAGAATGCTGTATTCAGAAATTGTTCAGAAGAATACTGTATTCAGAAATCATTCAGCAAGCAACAGGATCCAATATGAGTTAGTTATGTGTCATCTTCTCTATGCATCGCATTGTGGTAAAATTTCCATTTGAAATTGTATAATAATGGTTTTGTATCTTTCTATGAGGGCAGTAGAAAAGACCCAGAAGATCAAGAATCTTGCTTATTGAGCAATATATTGGGTTTTAATGAAAGCTTCCTGCCACTGCAAATATCATCTGCGCAAACAGTTCACTTTGTCATGTTTAATCGTATTTTGTCAAAAGATTTTTGGCATTTGAAAAAAAGAGACTTGCTTTAAAAGACTACAAGGTGTGACAAACAAAAACAAACAAACAAAAAAGGGACTGTGTAGCTTAAAAACAGAGTGGAGTTGGCAACAACTGTTTTGGTGATGTCATGCCACACACCTCTATCCGTGTGGCCAGATTCGACTTAACCCATTAGTCGCTGGTGTTGTGTTGACGCAACGATTAAAATAAATGCATATATAAATATAACTACCTAAGATATCTTATACCAGCAGATGATTTTATGTAAGTAATATTATGAAGATTATTTCTGTAAAAAAATATTTGCCTTCAACAGTCATTTTGTTTATAATAATTAATTTCACACTTTAAGCAAAAGTTTCGACCGGGTATTTTTGCTGAAAATATTTAATAAAAGAATCGCCGTCTTTAGGAGTGATCTGTTTTTAGTCAAGGCCACCATTTATCAGAACATTACATCAATCAGATGTTTATATTTGTGTTAGGAAGGAAGGGAAAGCAGGTGTTGCGGCAGGAAGCGGGTAATCAATCTCCCTTTTTCAGTCATTCCTTTGGATGTTCTGGTTCATGTTCTGGCTGCTTTAAAAATGCCTAGAATGAAGTATCTTACATTAGAAGAAGCCCTTCAAAGATTTTTTGATGAGGAAACAGACGATGATAATGTTAATACAGTCAAAAGTCGTATCAGTTTCTGTTGAGAGTTACTGGTTTTGAGAGTTTTTTGGTGTAAACATACTGGGGATCACAGCACTTTAAGTTAAATGGACACTGGCATGTTTGTTTATTTCATTAGCAATTTCTCTTTTTGTTTTGTTTTGTTGTTGTTGTCTTCATTTTCATTATTTGCATTTTTCGTTATGAGAATGTGGGGAACTGCATCCAGCTCAATGTTTTCATTTATGTTGATTTTTTTTATTAGGAGAATGTGACCATTTATCATTATTAATTAAAAAGTAACTTTACAGCATTATTACAGAAGGGGAAAAACATCAGCTTTTCTGATGTGTGATGCATCTTACTTGCTCAGCGTAAAAAATCTGTCATTGTCCTATGTGTTGATCCTCGTTTTATATTATTCCAAACACAGCAGAATTATTAAATTGGAATTTAATTACCTACAGATGATTATTGCTTAATTTTCTTTTACAATTTGTATTTGTAATTTTGTTTTCGTGTGTATAGTGTTTGTTTTCATGCATATAATTATAATTTTAGTATTTTACATGTTTCATTTATTTCTATGTATGTAATATTCTTTATATTAATACATATTAAGAATTAGTATATTAAGTACATAACTTCAAAAATTGACGTGATTATATTAAAAGGCTGATTTTATATGAATTTTTTTGTAAAAGTAGGCTTAAGTGCTGAAAAATGCGTAAGCTAGTGGTGACGTTTGATTTCAAAGTCCCGTGGCTGCACTTCATTTTCTGCACGCTAGTCCTCAAAGAATTAAATATGCACAAATGTTTTAGTTTCTTATTAATGTTTCAACATGTATTTTGATACTGATATTTTCTTTCTTACACAGAAGAAGAATCACTTACTAAATCAGGAGAAATCAGTGATACTAGTCTATGTAGTAATAGTCATATAGAAAATGGAAGGTCAAGCATATTCTATGCAAGTCTTGAGTCCCATCATGAAAACTATCCAACTGCAGTATTTTATGCTAGTGTGGAATCAGGAGAAGATTCTGACAGTTTCAAGAGTGTGTTAGTAAAACTTTAATTTATAGTTCAGCTTTTTATTGTGTTAATTCGGAAGCATTTGAAAAAAATTATAATAGCAAAATTTAAATCCAAGAATTTTTAGGTGATCAATTTATTATATTCTTTACACAGCCAATTTTATATTTGGTGCAAAAAATATTGACATCCTCAGTTGTATTCTCTTATTTTTTAGTATGCTTGCAGAAACAGTACCTGATTAAATAGGCAAAATTTTAGGTTTAGGTGCTATAATAAATGTTCCTTAGCAGTTTAATGAAATTTGAACTGTTTTCTAAGTTTGTGGACATGTATTTTGAAACATAACGATTTCATGAAAATTTTTGCAGTCACTAAGTGAAATAGACTTTTTTTTTTTTTTCCCAAGAAATAATATATTTATTATGAAAATTCTGAAAATGTTGATTGTTCTGTAAATCTGATGATAATCATTCTTAACAGAGAGTAGTTACTGGTATAATTGTTCTTTCTATGATTTCTAAGTATTTAAAGAAAGCATAACAAAAAATATTCATCTTTCATTAAAGTTCTAACATGAATGCTTGATTTTATTACACAGATAAAAATTTCATGATTTTTTTCTCACTGTTGGGGAAAGAGGAAGGAATAAGTAGAAGAAACCATTTATGTATTTTTAAAACATGCAGTTAACAATTCATCGGAAAAGCAGCATCCAAGACTTCTCTGTATCAGAAATTATCTGTGGAATTATTTGCATTTTTCTATAATTTGGAAGGAGAAGGAAAAGAGAGAAAGTATCTTTGATGTGTGATAACTAATACATCGTTCAATAAGTCCTGAGACTAACTAAGAAAACAACATCCATTTCACAAAATTCACGTTTATTCATCAACATAATCGCCATCAAGAGCTTTGTAAACATTCCAACGCTTTTCTAACTTTTCTATACCATGCTTGATTTGTCCTTGTCCGCAAAATAAGCTTCAGTTGCAGCGATGACTTCCTCATTTGAGTCAAATCTTTTCCCCTGGAGCATCTTTTTCAGATCAGCAAACAACCAGTAGTCGCTAGGGGTTAGATCTGGGGAGTATGGTGGGTGGGGAAGCAACTTTTTCAATGTAACCAGTGTTTGCATTGATTTGTGGCACGGGGCATTGTTTTGATGGAAGATGATTTTTTGTTTCTTCATGTGTGGTTGTTTTTTTGCAGTTTCGTTCTTCAGATGCACCAGTAACTCACTGTAATAGGCACTATTCATAGATTTTCCCTTTTCAAGGTAGTCGATGTAAATTATACCTCGTGCATCCCAAAACACTGATGCCATGACTTTGCCAGCTGACTGTTGTGTTTTTGGATGCTTCAGACGGCTTTCACCAGCTGCACGCCACTCAGCTGACTGCCGCTTCGACTCTGGAGTGAAATAATGGATCGACGTTTCGTCCATTGTCACATACCGATGCAAGAAATCCAGTTTATTGCGAGTAAACAGTGACAAACAGCTCTGTGAATCGTCGACTCATTGTTGCTTTTGTTCCATTGTGAGCACACGTGGCACCCATTTGGAAAACACATTTTTCATGCCCAACTTCTCATGTAAAACCGCACACGCACTTCCAGTTGAAATGTTACCATCTCAGCAATCTCCGAGCGTGCCACATCATTTCTATCCGTGCGACCGGGCTTGAAATCAGCATACCAACGACAAATGGTTGTTTTCGATGGAGCAGAGTCTGGATAATATTTTTCAAGCCATTGCTGAGTTTGGGTGGTATTTTTGCCCATTAAATAGCAATGTTTGATCAACACTCGAAATTCGTTTTTCTCCATTTTGTCCCCAAATGCACAGGTAGTGTCACTTTCACCACAGTAGCTTCGCTGTTTCCTGTCTGAATGCCATGAAAATCAGACTCGTGTCATTTGAAGGTTAGTTTTTTCGAACAACGAAGTCAGGTTGATATTACTATGCCATCTGTCGGTTAGTCCCAGGACTTATTGAACGATGTGTTAGGTTTAAACAATGCTTTATGTTTCTTTTTTTTTGTGCCTTTATAATACTTTAAAGTTCATATTTTTATATTTATGAAGGTTATTCTGAGTGAATCCATTACAAATATATGATTGAATATGTAATAAATTAAAATGTGGGCAAGGTATCTATAAATCTTTAGGATTTAATTTTTTGAAGTTAAAATTTCATGTGTTGTGATACCTTGGAATCTGAACTTAATCCATTACAGAACTTCATTTGAATTCCAAGGTGAGTTTCATTAAAGTAATAGAAACTTTATTAATCTCAAATTCAAGTTCATAGAAATCTGAACTTGAATCTTGGAAATGATTTTAATGGTTAATACACTCAATTTTAAGCAGAAAGTATTAGCAAATAATAATAATATTTGGATAAAAGTGTAAATTAGTAAAATTAACTTTATGAAACTTGTTTTGATTTAAGAGGGATTATGATGGAATATGTGGAAGTTGTAGGAGGAACAAGGTTATTTCTTGGAAGGTGAATTAACTTCCATAATAATGTCAGATTGCATCTGTGGGTATTCTGTTGTCTGTGTTCTTTGCTTATCATGCATTTTGTTTTAAGGTATAATTTTTAGACGGCTTAGAGAACAAATGAACCAGTGTTTTATTCTGGTCTGATAGTGGGAATATTATTGAATGTTTTAAAATGGTCAATTATGTATCAGTGAAATAATTAGCACATCTCTTACCAAGAACTTTATTAGGTATATCATCACAATGCTTACCTGAGTTTTTGTTTGCATGCTGAGGAGATGCTTGATTTTCAGCAGTGGGAGTGGTTTCAGCATCTCCCTCTTTCTTCTCTGAAGAAATTTCCTCTGCAACTCTGCTTTGCTGCTGCTGGTTGAAATGCTGAAGCCCTTCTGTTGTTCTGAACCTGTGACTGACAATTAACTTTCTGATATCATATTTGCTGACTTCCAAACTTATGGATTTGCTCAGAGATGTGATGTTAGGAACAGCAAATAATTTCTCAAAGCCTTCAAAGCCCATTGCAGTAACAAATTCAAGCACACAAAGTTCATTATACTCAATTCCAGCAGAAAAAAAGTGTTTTGTCACAGCCTTCCGACTATTCCTGAATGGCATCCTGAGATCATCATCATCACTGTTGCTGTAATGTAAACCACGCAAATGCTGCTTTAGTTTTTGAAGTAAGACAAAGTTCCTTGGGGCCAGGTTTGGTTAATAAAAGGAATGAAAGAGAAACTGAGAGTTTCATTGCCAACTAGCATTTAGCACATTTCTACACAGACTTTTCAACCTTTGTTTACAATTAGCAGTTTTTCCAGCACAATGGAAGAGAGCTCGGGTTGTTTTGATTCCTGAAACTTTAAATACAAGAACCTCTTATCTTGATAATATCAGATGCATTAGTCTTTTCCCTACTTTGGGAAAATGTCTTGAAACTCTCTTCATTAACAGAATAAATTGGTATTTGAGACAAAAATGCTTTTATAATAATTCTCAGTTCGGATTTACTCCTCGGAAGTCGGCTGAAGATGCCATTATTCGCCTTTGTAATATCTTGCAGTGTGCAAAGAAAATGAAGTATACTACACTTCTTATTTTCCTGGATTTCAAAGGAGCTTTTGATAATGCTTGGTGGCCATCTATCTTAAAAATTTTAAAAGATGCTGGTATACCACATAATATCTATAACCTTAAAAGCTTCTTGAACGAGAGGACCGCTGAGCTTCAGCTTGGGAACGAAGCTAAGGTTTATTCTCTAGAAAAAGGCTGTCCTCAAGGCTCTGTATCCGGACCTACTCTTTGAAATATAATCATAAATGATCTTTTAAGTCATCTCGACGGTTGTTTAAAAATTGCATTTGCAGACGACTTACTATTAATTTTCCAAGTAAGGATTTTGAATAACATTCTTTTGAGAGCACAAGAGGTTCTAGATTTTGTCTCCAGTTGGGCGATTTCTCATAAACTCACTTTCAATCTTTCAAAAAGTAAAGCTATGCTTGTTCTCAGTACATTTGATGAACAAAATATTGCTTCTTTGATGCTCGATAATTCTCTGTTGGAATTTGTAGAAAATGTTAAATATCTTGGTGTCATTCTTGACCAAAAATTAACATGGAAAAAGCACATTGAATTCCTTTCTGCTAAATGTGAAAAAATTATTAATGGCTTTCACCGAATTGCCAAAAAATACTTTTGGAGTAATCTACAATGTTAAGAAACTCATGTATAAGCAGTGTATTGTGCCTTTCATTTCGTATGGCTGTCGTGCTTGGGGACATGTTCTTGCCAAGAAGGTTAACAAAAGAAATTAAAGAAAGATTCAACGGAGAATTCTTCTTCGTATTATTAGTCGTTATAGAACCTTAAGCTATGAGACTTTTGTTCTTGCAGGAGTTCCGCCTATTGATTTTGAAATTGCATATAAGATTAATATTTTTGAGTCATTGGCAATTCATGCTTTGGAAGACTGTATTAATGGAATTGTCCCCTTCACTGATCTTCCTCATCCCGCTTCTTTAGAACCCATAAATTTCTGTGATTATAAAGAGACTGCTGAAATAAGTTTTCATATGGTTTTCTTTACAGATGGCAGCAAGAGGAACAGCAAGGTTGGACTTGCATTTGTTCTTTTTGAAGGCCATTCCGAGATTTGTTTTCTTAGACACTGTATACGGAATGAATGTACAGTTTTTCAAGCAGAACTTCTGTGCATTTATCTTGCTGTCAAATGGATCCAGAATCATGGGACAACATCCTCAAAGTACCTTATTTGTTCTGATTCTCTTTCTTCTCTTCAACTTTTGAACAGTATTACCAGCTGCGATAAATTAGTTATCGAAACCCTAGTAACTGTTAGCTCACTTAGAATTAGAGGTATTGATATCTGCTTTGCTTATGTGCGTGCTCATCATGGTTTCTACGGAATGAAAGAGCTGATTTCTTAGCTAAAGATGCCTTAAATTTACCCATTGATATCAACATTAGCATTCCAAAGAGTTATTGGAAGTCCTTTCATTATAAAATGCTTTTAGCTATGTGGAATGAGGAATACATTTCATCTTGTAATGCTGAAGTCACCAAAAAGTTCCTTCCTTCTATTTACCATAGACTGAATTCCGAGTCTTTCCTCTCGTTAAATTTAAAGTGTCTCAGTTTTTATATGGTCACGGTAAATTTGCAAGTTATCGGTTTCGTTTTATCTACGATCAAACAATTTATGGAATGTTCAAAAAGAGTTCCTCAGGATGTGGAACATTTGATTTTCTCGTGCCCTACATTTGATGGCCCTAGATTATGCTTACAGAACGATTTGAAAATGTTCGGAGTGACTTGGTCAGTGAAACTTTCTGTTTTCGTGAAGTCCAGACTGCTGTTCTCTGCTTTTGTTCGCTTTATTTATGCATGTAATTTTTAATGTTTATTTATACATGTAATGTTCTAGTTAACTTACTTCTGTAAGCCCCTTGTTGTACATATGTGGTGCATGGGGAGTCTGTATGTTCTCAAAGGAAAAAAAAAAAAAAAAAAAAAAAAAAAAAAACTAGCAATCTGGGAAGTTTGAACTTGTGTGTTGCAGTGTTGTTATGCAAAAGCAATATTTTTTGCTGGATTTACTATGACACTTTACTTTTATATTTTTTTAGAGTTGTTAGCATAATAAATGCATATTATCATGATATTATATGGCATATAATCAGTAAGTAGCGGTCCCTTTTCATTGCCCCAAAAGTGTTCAAAATCTTCCTAGGAAATTTCTGATATGAATCTGTGATTTTGACAAGTTCTGCTGTAGTTTCTTCTGCCATTACTAATATAATTTCTTCTGTCATTCCATTAATAAGGTCATATTTCTTTTGTTGTTAGTAGCTATGAATTAAAAAAAAATTATTTTTGTTTATCTTAGAAATAAATTCTCCAAAGCCTTTGACCTGATGTTACTTTATTCTACCATTAATGTTCTGGATATCCATTTGGTGGACAAATTTCATTCTGAGTTTTTTTTATCTGATATTTTTCACTGAACCAGTGCTAATTCTTATTTTCCATAGCAATCTGAGAAACTGTAGCTCATATATTTTCCAACTTGTACTGCTGTGGGATCACTTTTAAGCTGTGCTGTCCTCTATCAAAACATAATAGCTTGTCCTCTTATGGTGGCGTGGAAAGGTGCTATTATCACCATAAAGTGCAAGTGCCTAGCCTTGATTGTTGAGCTACCCATGTACAAATTAAAATTCGTTACCTTTTTTTATGAAAATATAATATGATTTTCATTTCACCGCCCTTAAATTTGGCTGCCCACATCATCTTGCATCCCGTTAGGATCGGCCCTGCAACTATGTGTTCATGGATATTTATAAAGGTATGGCCTGTTTTGTCAAGAACTCAGTAATTGAACAATGTTTGTTATTTTTCTTATTAACAGACATTGACTGGCAATGTTTAACAGCTTCTTTAAAATAAAATAATGACGTTTGCTGTGATTTCATAATCTCACTGATATAATATATTTATATAGGGTTCGTAGTGGTCCTTATAAGTGATTATAAATCCTTATATTTGAAAATAAAACATAAGGGCCCTTATAGGTGCTTACTTATTCTCTAAAGCACTTATTTTTTATTTTTAGTGCTTATTTTTTACTTTTAGTGCAATTTTTTTAAAGAAACTTGCATTTTTTCTTCGTACCAAGGCCGAAACTAAATAAATAGCTTTTCTTTATTATATAGAACATCAGATGGTGTATCATACTCCCGGAAATAGCTTTTCGCCCCTTTCTCTGCATTAACATAACCTTTGGTGTGCGCGAGTACAGACTTTGGTGCACGTCGTTCTGTTGGTCAAAGAAATGCAAAAGCGGTAGAAAATTCCGGTACATTCCGTATTTTTTTCTCCCGCCTAAGACTACACAGGTTTGAATTTCTATCAAGATTTTAATAATTTGCATTCTTGTTCCATGTGCTCAGTTCATATTTACATTTATTATGATTGTTATGCATATATTATGAGCATATGTATGAATATTTATAATGATATAGTTGCAGTAACTGCTGAAGTATAGATAAAAAATGGGTAAACGTGTTTTAACAAAGATTAGCTTTCTAAGGAATAATATTCAGAATGGCTTAAATAAAGTGAAAGTAATCGAATAGTCAAAATAAATTAATTTTTTTGCCAATGCATTATACATTATGGAAGTTGGGAGGTCCTCCCCTTTCTCCGCAAAATCTTGAATATTGAAACCGTTACAGTTCGCAGCAAAACAAGCATCAAATTTTTTTTTTGGTCACTTTCCAATCTGGATTGAATAGGACTGAATCAATGTTCTGTAGTCTACCAACCCAAGCAAAGAATTCCAGAAATTTAACGCAGTCTGTTCAAAATTAGAATGAAAAACATCCCAGATTGGTAAGTCTCTTTTCCTTCATTTAGTTCTTTATTCTCCGAATACCAGCAACTGTTGATTCCGATTGCGTAATATCACGTACAGAAGAATTAAACACATAACGGTATGGAAACGTTATTGCACGTATTGTGCAATAACGTTTGTGATATTTTGCAGAGATAATTAATTTTGATGTTCAGTCTGAGATTTGTTTATGAGCACTTAAAAGAGTTTTACTGTGCTTGCTAAGCAGAATATTTTTCAGTTCTGTTGGCTATTTTTATATAATGCACATATCGAAACGTCAAAAGCATTATTTAGCTGAAAAATCTAAAGAAAAGCTACAATCTACCCCTCCTCCTCTTTTTCCAGTTACACTCGACTATTCGGAATTTTCAGATACTCGACAATTTCAGAGTATACGGGTTAGTTAAGCTTTTACTGTTAAAGGGTGACTGCATGAAGCAATTTCCCGTCTTCTGATTTCAGAAATGTTTCTTTTTTTTACTTAAATTACTTTACTTGCAATACGTTAAGGGAAAACTGTTATACAATAAAAATTTAGAAAGTTTTTAGAATTTTGATTTAAGTTAAATTATTTAAATATTAATATGAGTGGAAAAATAAATTGTATTTCTTATTAGGTGCCACCCGAATATAATAAATATGCCTTACTACTATTTATTTTCTATTTTTAACTGAAATTTCATCATTAAATCTTGTAATATAGTTTAGTTCTGCATAGATTTTTCGTCCTCATTGTAAACTAGTTCTGTAAATTGAACTGTTATTTAAAAAAAAAAAAAAAAAAAAAAAAAAAAAAAAAAAAAAAAATTGTTTTCCATGGTTGAGTAATACCCAATCTCTCTTAATAAATACTGAATTTCTCATATTTAATTACAAGTCTAATTTTCCTTTTAATGTTATTCAGTTGTGTATAATGTAATTAGATGGGTGCTTATTATTTTCCTTAAAATGTGCTTGAAAAGTGCTTATAGGTGCTTATTTTTTTAACTAAAATGTGGCTACTAACCCTGCTATAATATATTATCTTTTTTAATTAGCATTATATAAATATGTAGTATTAAATTTCTAATAAATATTTATATAACGCTCATTATACAATATTAGAAAAGTATTTTATCTTTACTTTATGACATTATGTACAGTTTAAAGGTTTGACAAAATAGGGCAATTTTAAGCTTTAGCAGTGTAATAAAAATCATGATTTACTATCAGAGTAAGAAACATTGATCGAAATTTTATTTATTTATTCACATGTTGTTGATATTACTGTGTAAAGACTGTCACATTTGAGCTGCTAAATTTTATCTTGTTCATGATTGGTGCATGTTTTGTAACAAAAGAATTATTCATATCTCCAGTTTTCAGTTTGGAGGAAGGGGATCATGGTGAAATGAATATAATTGAAACTGCAGATGCTGAATCAACAGATACGAGGGCATGATAGTATATCTTTATGTTCTTGTAGTTGATGTAATGAAAAAAAAAATTTTTTTTTTGAAAATTAGAAAGCTGTAGAAAAGTTTAATATTGCAGCTAATCATGACTCAGTTGTATTTGTGACTGTTGTGTTTCAGTATTGATGTTAATGTGATAAGTTTAATCTAATATTTTTATATTTCTTCTTTAGGAAATCAAACAATGCAGACACTAGTTCATCTGATAGTGAAACACCTCCATCTGTGTGTTTGGTGAATAACTTAGAAAACTTTACAAATAACAATGGGATCTATAAAAGTCCAACCTTAGCTAGTAGTCCTGTACCAGTTCCTAATAGTCGACAGCGAATGGATAGCATGTCTAGTTTAGGAAGGTAATCACTTTTTTTTTATTTTGAACTTTATTTATTTATTTTTATTTATTTATTTATTTTTTTGGTCAGTATATAATTTAGAATTCTAAGATATATTTGTAGATCTTGGGGGAATTTTCAATTCATGTGGGCCTTGAATGTTGTCCAAACTTGTTATGTTTTAATTAATTTCTGAAGAACATGGAAATAACAATATCTTTTGATGTATGGTTCCCCCATCCTCCCCAAAATAGAGGTAATGCTTCCTAAGATTTTTATATGTCATTACTTTTCTGATTAAATGATGTATCGTAATATGTCATTAGCTGTTATATATCTTTGTTAGAGTCATGTAATTTGAACAAAGTCATCCAGAAGTCTCCAGAATTTCTTCACCAACATTTTTTGACATTGATATCATTTGTCCTTAAAACTTTTGATATCATCTAACGTACAGCAAGGACTGCTGCAACTTTTTCCTTAAATGAATTTCAGCTGCATTTTGGCATTGAGCTTTAATGGATGTATTTAACAGGGCAAATGTTTAATTTGGCATGAGTGCTGTTTTCATTAGACATCATTATGCATATGACATGGATGTGTGAAAAGAAGAAACATTAGATCAAATATGCATTGGAGAAATACTGGAATTTAAAATGTAGAGCTATGCAAATAAGCAACCTTAGAGTAATTTATTTTATATTATCAATTCTGTTTCATTGTAGGAAACCTGTGCCGTTTTCTTGTTATACAAGCTGTACCCATAAAGTAACCTGACAATTTCTTATAAATAAGAAAAAGATTACTTATCTTCAAATAAATTTATCTCCTTCAAAATAATCACCAGAGGAGTTTGTACAGTTTTTCAAGTGTTTCTTCGACCACTCATGCTTTTGTGTTTTTTATAATGATGGATCAACTATATACCATTCAAATCATGTCTAAGTTTTTTTTTATGGCAGATTTACCTAATTTGTAACAAAATTGAAATTTATGATGTTATTCTATTGTAAATCAATTTTTTTTATGCAGTGCTTTCCCACTAAATGAAATAACTCCGGCAACTTGATATGCAGATGATAAAATAACCAGTTTAAACTCACACTAAGAAGAGTTCAGATGTCACTCTTTCTAAACATAAATTTATTCTTTTTTATTTTTTTATTATTTGGTCTTTAATTTGTCTGATTGCTTTATAGGCAGATATAAAATCTATACCAATATAACGTACTTTAATTCTCATAATGTACACTGCTGGGCATTAAAATATATCCCTGGCAGCTAAAACAGCATTTTCCCGGTTAGGCATGGTGTCGAACTGGGCTTGGGATGACAGAAATGGGCAATTCATTCCATGCTGTTTTAAGTCTATACTACACTTCATCAATTGTATTAGCTGGAGTGGGGTGGTGGGCCAGTCTCTCAGCAACCTATGACCACATGTTTTCAATGGTTGACAGATCTGAAGACCATGCAGGCCAGGGCAGCAGTCAAATACTCTGTGTATCCAGGAAGATCAGAGCACAATGTGCAACATGTAGTTTTGCATTACCTTGTTGGAAGATGGTGTTTGGCAGGCCTAAAAGATAGGGTACAACTACTGGACACAAGATGTCAGAAATGTACCGATCTGCGTTCAAATTACTATCGATCCGAACTAGAGATGTGTGTGTCGTGTACCCAATGGCTGCCCAAGCCATCACACCAGGTGCGGGGCTCCTATGCTGATATGAAATGCAACCAGGCGATATGCGGTCTCCTCGGAGCCTGCAGACACGTATACAGCCATCAGAATATTGCACAAAGAACTGCAACTCGTCTAAAAAGACAAGATTGTGCCACTCCCATATCCAGCTCTGTCAGTCGGCGCACCAGAGTCACTGTCTGTGTCTATGTTGCATTGTCAAGAGAAACCGGAGTAATGGTCATTGTGCCGATGATAGTCCACACTTCTGCAGACATTGATGGACCGTACATGTTGATACTGTGCATGCTGCAAGCTTGCCTATTTCCTGACTAATCATCTGTGATGTGTTTGTACAATTTTGCCGGACTGACCTAACATTATGTCTGTCCTCTCAGGCAGTAGTCATGAGAGGGCACTGAGATCATGCATGCCGTTCAGTATGACCCTCAGTAGACTATTGATTCCACATTCACATGACAGTGGTTGGATGTCGACCAGTATGACAGGCAATATCGTGGAATAATAATTCACACTCTCGATAGGTAATGATCCTGCCGCTATCAAATTCTGACACTTGCTGGTAAGCATTTCTTATTATTATTCGAGGCATAACACGATATTCTGAGCAAACTCTGTTCTTACAAAGTGCTTTCCAAATGAGAAATCCACTACACAGTTTTTCTTTTATACAGTGCTTCAGATGTCATTTCTCCCTTCTGCGTCATCTAAATGCGTTGAAATACTAATAATTTGCATATTCCAACCTCTTCTTCCTTTCATTTAATTTTCACATTCATCAGATCATTCCTACCTGGTGTTGCAATATTAATGTCCAGCAGAGTAATATGTTTTTAATTTTTATAGATACTAAAACTTGTTTCTTCATTCTTTTTAAAATTTGAAACTTGTTTCTAAATTCTTAGTTTAAGTTCCAAGCTCTTTGGAAGATATTAAAAATAGTCATTATGTTATGCATTAAAAATTAAATAATCTTTTGACTTCATGAAAAAAGTGTAATAACTTTTGAATTTCAAAGTAAACTGTTTGAAATAATTGAAACTGAAATTTCATTTTCAATTTGGGATTTTTAATGCATATCCTTAAATTAATAGTATCTAGAAATACAGTCAAAAGTTGCTATTTTGGACACACATAATCCGGACCTCAAAGCTACAAACTTTTTGCGCATGCGCCGCAAAGTTTGTAGCTTTGAGGTAAGACCTTTACGGCTGCGAATATGCGTGTGCGCATGCGCGTTTAATGTATAATGGATGGCATAAGCTAAGCTGAAATTATCTAATTCATTTAATGTTGCAGATTGCGTGGTTCCTTAATCTTCGAATTGTATCCGGCTTATTATTTTTTGCAGACTGTTAGAGCAATTTTATAAAAGTAAGCTTGAACTTTCGATTATGTCAAATAGAATTTCCAATATATATTTACTAATATGTAAAGGATCTACAAAGCGAAAGTATGTTTCGAAGTGCATTAAACAAAAGTGGAATTGCTGCAAAAAATAACCTAACCATTCCGAAATCTGTTTATCAATTTCACTGCTCTGCGGCAGGGGGGGGGGACGCCGCGGCGTACAATGAATTGGAAGTTGATCTGTCAGCACTATCCTTATCTTCAGGGCAGATGTTTTCATTTTATTTGGCTTATAATTCCTTACTAAATGTAGTATTTCATCTCGATGTATTCCATCTTTGATATGATTTAAATCAAATTCCTCGTCATTATAATTTGCTTCCGATAGTGAAGAAAGTGACACAGAGGTTATTGAAAACGAAAAAATTGGATTGACAAATTAGTCGGTATTCGCGACAAAGCAATTATAGGAGTTGAACAGCGGAACTTTGTAACTGAACAAGAAATTATGTCTGTTTATAGAATCACAGAGAAAGTATTATCACATAAAATGAAGCAACTTAAACAACTTACATTGAAAGAAATGTTTAATAAAGTAAACAAATAAATATTAAGCTTTTTTTTTTTTTGTAAATTTTGATACTCTTTAGATCATAATTGTTCTTTATTTCATAAATTACGGTTTCATATTTTTAATTTTATAATTTCTGCATGCCATCTTACTAGATTTAAACTGATGATCTATAATCCGGAATCGCCAAAGTCCTGACGAGTCCGGATTAACGACTTTTGACTGTATATGATTTTTTTGAATATAATGGATCTTTGAATATTTGATGTTGTAACAGGTATTACCACATATGCAGATAAATGACAATTAGCATACATACAGCGTATACATTTGTATTTGCTTTTTAATATTGAGGAGGAAAATAAGTTCATAGTAAAATCCAAAAATATTATTAGCCCAGAAGGGCTATTAGTCTCGAAGCAGCATTTTGAAATGAATCACTAAAAGTATTGTATCACTTTTCAAATGGTTACAGCCAAAAACATCGCAGACGAAAATGTCTCGAAGAAAACAACGCAAGGCCAAAAATGTCGTGGTACTATACATTGTGGGAGAAAAGAAAGCAAAGCGAAAATGTTGCAGTTCTAAAATATCAAGGTTAAAAATAAAGCGGTTAAAAAATATTGTCATTGAAAATATCATGGTAAAAAATAAAGTACCTACAAATCATCGCATGACGATAACATCACACACATGCGTTTTTCAGGTTTTAAAAGTTGTAAATGCATTTTCGCATAATAATTTGTTAGCGCAAGAAGGAAAGAGGATGAAAATGTTACCAACACTTTAAGAATAAATGGAAACAAAACAAGATTTAATTTTCACTAAAACAGTAACAGATAACAAGCGTGAAAGAAAATAATTTGATAATTAACTAAACAATTTGTATAGAGGTAACCTGATGCAATTATTTATCTTCCTTTTTCTAAACATATTTAGACCGTATTTTTAATGAAACATTATCATCAAAATGTAATAAAAAATTAATAAATTTTGTAATTAACTATTTTAATTTAAAATTAAGTGCTGTAAGTGGCATTAATTTTCTTTTCATTTTCAGTTTTTAGATGCTTAAGTTTCCTTCTTACTTTTTCAGCAAAACATATAAAATATGAAGTAAAAATATCTTTCTTTCCTTCTTGCCCTCTCAAATCATTATGTGAAAATGGACTTATTTTTAAAACCTGAAAAGTGCTTGTGTGCGATGTTATCGTTATGTGAACGTTTAACACGAAACTGAGGGGACTGAAATATTTTTCATGTTAAAAGAATTTCATGTTAAAGGATATTTAAATATATATATATATATATTCAACAAAATGAAGTTTATTAGAGTACATTTCATTTACATAGATATGTATATATGCATGTATTTAATGAAAATCAATAAAACAAAGACATCCACAAGAACTTAATGAAATTTAATACAAAATTTTTAAGTTTTTTGAAAAACAAAACGTTTATTGAGTTTTTAGAAAGTAATTTAACATTTTTCTTTGCATTGTCTTTTTAGCATCAAATTGTTAAGAAATTGTTCAGTGCCATCCATTTTGTTATTCATTTCATCATTGGTATGTGCGTCTAAATAATTGAGCATACTTTTTATGATGTTCCTCATTTCCAATGACGTGGGAACAGGAGCTTAATTATTCATTTCATTTTCGTCATCGGGATCTGCATTAATGATATTTTTTTTAGCTTTGAACAAACTCCAAACTGTCTTTGTCTGCCATAATTGGGGCTGTATACACATTATCATCAACTACTGCAGCAAATTCTTCTGATAATACAGTAAGACAGCCCATTAATACAGAAACTTTCTCAAACATTTCATTAAGTGTCGACTCAGTTTCAATATCCCCCTTCTCCATTTCTTTTGGCGCTAAAGAATCTGATACTTATGACAAAAATAATTTTTATTCATCCTTGGAATCACTGCAGAGTGCAACATATGAAGAGACATGCGCAGAGTGCAACATATGGAGAGACAGAAACATGCAGAATGCAACATATGAACCAAACTCACTGATTTTTACTCACACTGTACTTGTCACTGAATTCCAAAACCAACTGATGAGAGATGAGATGTTTGTGTGGCGTTTGTAGGTGTGGAAGGTGAAAGTAGCTTAGATACACAAAAGTGGCTTGTGTCGCAGGCTATTCTCAGGGTATTTCAAAACCAAGTTAGCCTCTTTTCTATAAAACATGTGAAGCCACCTTTCTTTCATTTCACACCCCGCTTAAATCTCGCCTGCAAGGCCGGTGTTTTCCGTATTTTGTTCATTTCCAGAAAGGATATCTTTTCGGGTTAAGCGATTTTAATTTCATGTTAAAAGAAACAAAATGCGTGAAAATGTATAGTAGTTTGTCGGAGCCGTTGTATTATTTCGTGTTAACCGATATTTCGTCTTAAGCATTTTCGTGTTGAATGTATTTCACTGTATATTTATTTTTCACCACTATATTTTCGACGACAATGTTTTTAGACTGTGAAGTTTTTAACTGCTTTATTTTCGACCATGATATTTTGTACCATGATGTTTTCTCTTTGCTTTTTTTTTCTCCCACGAATGTTTTGTACTATGACGTTTTGGCCTTGCGTTGTTTTCTCTTCGCAATGTTTTCGGCATACACCTTTCAAGTTGTTGCCAGCAAATATTATCTCCCTGTATTATATTTAATGAAATTAAATAGTGAAGAATCTGCATTAATGTATGAATGTTTCTTGCATTATGAAAAAGTAACTGCACATAGAACCATCAAATTTTGAATAATCCACTAGAACATGGGCACCTGGAAGCTCGAATTTGGAATTTGTTTTACTGTCTATTTCATATTTTGTAAAACTGGTTGGATTTTTTTGATTAAAAGACTCAACAATTTCAAAGTGAACAATGGCAACACTATACAGAAGAAAACATTTTTATCTGCAGCACAAGAGATTGCCTTTTGTAAATTTTAAAGATCTTGTATTTTTAAATATTTATAGTCCAAAGTGGCATTAGCCCAAATGCTCTCAAAATGGGTATATGTATGTAATGGGTGGAGTACCTGTTGGTTGTAATATAAAATCTGAAAGCAACTTTGGGTATGTGTCTGTAAATGAAAAAAGTAAAAAGCCTGTATGAGCATAATAACATCTGAAAGTTCTCAGATTGCATTTTTAATATGCACGTTCTAATAAGATTGTACCATAAATCTACTATTGCTAACAACTTTAAAGGTCTTTGAAGCTGTTCTGGTACTATTTCTTTGAGATGGCCTTTATTTTAAAGTGTAGCATTTTTTAGCTCTTACACTGAAAAATAATGACTTTAAAGTCAATAGTGTTGAGGAAATTGGTTGATGCCATAAAGAAACCTTCATTTCAAACAATTTTTATCTGCTTTTAGTTTCTGATGGACATTTTCGCAAGCATACGCAAAACATTCTGTTCTGAAAAAACACAAATTTTAACTTATTGCTTAACTCAAAACATCTGTCTCAGAGTATGATTGAGGAAAATTACTGTTTAGCTTAACAGGAGAGGGATAAACTCAGATGAGGAATCTTAGTGAATCAGCTAAACATGTTTATTCTTTTATGTTTCCTAAACTTTTAAATCACATCACTTTTATCTATAATCTTTATTTTGACAAAATCGTAATATTATGCAGTGAGATCTGTTTAGCATTAGATAAGTGTATGGGATATTTTACTTCATGGAATAAGTTGTCTGTGTTCCAAGTCAGAATTTTAATGCTTTGAATCTCTGATAATAAAATATCATACTAAATAATTTTCCATTCTAAAACACATATTCTATTTAGAAGGCTTGACTGTATTATCTTCTTGTAAGAAATATTTTATTCCCATAACTTGCTAAATATGATTTTCTTTCATTATAACATTTTTAGAAATGATAGTGGATTGAAGATATGTTTTATAATCTGTTAACAAAATTTCGCTGTCTGAATAATTTCATAAAAGTCAAAGATTTAAAATAAATAATTTCATAAAAGTTAAAGCATTCATAAGATTTATGTGGAAGCATTGTGTAATTGCTAATAAATATATTGTAAGGAAACAAATAAGATTTCTGAATCCAGCATTTTTTTATGCTGGATTGTACGGCAGCATTTTTTTTATGAACCTTTTGATGGTTTTCCTATTCTGCTCTCAAAAGTGGAATTTAAAGTAGTCAAATTTTGAATTGTCAGTCATATATTTAATCCTTCTTAAGTGATTCAGTATGTGTTTTTCTAAGTAATGAAGGAAGCATAAATGATTTATTGAATTTATTTTTGAGAATATATGCTTACAAACTCTTTTTTTAGTTAGTTTACAAATGTATTAATGTTCAGGCTTTGAAATGGTAAAAATATCTTTAAAATTTGATGTGTCTGAATATATTTTGTTAATAAGTATTATTATTATTGAGTTGTTCAGTACTTATATTAAATTCAGCTGAATTATATTTAATAATTTCGCAGTAATAGTTATATTATCTAATTTTCTTTTGTAAGTTGGCAGTATGTATCAGGCACTGGAAGTTTACTTGGATCTGTTACATCTAGGAGTTCCTCTGCTGAGCTAAATATGAATGGATTGCAGTCAAATCATAGTTTGTAAGTGCTTTTCTTTGATAAATCCTATGAGAGTCGGAACTGGTTTTAGTTTTGATTGTGTAGCAGAATTTACAAATGTATCACAACAGGTTAGGTAATCCTTTTTTTGGAGGAGGGGAAGATTGGTAAATATAAGTGGAGCAGTAAATTTATCTTTCTGAATGAATGATTTGAATGATTATCTTTAATTATAATAATTTAATTTTTTTTTATTTTATATATCACAAATCCTTTCACTGCGAGTATGAAGAAAGTGACCAGTATTTTCCACAATATGATGGTAGCGAATTTCTTGAAGATAAAAATTCTCTGGAACCATTAGTCTTTGGGAAGTTTCATTTGATCTTGAATTATAATTTTTTTAATTAACTAGTTTGAAGCTTCCTGCATTCTATTTATCTCCACTATTAAAGAATGTACTATGCTCCTCACATTGCAGAAAAACAGCAACACATAGTTACCAAATTTAAAACACACATAGTTCACCCGAACATATGCACATTAAAGCCCAAATTTTGAATTTTTTTTACTTCATATTTTGTATAAATATAATGAATTTTTTATTAATACTCAACAATTTGAAAGTGAGCAATGGCAACATTGTTCAAGATAAAATATTTTTATCTCCAAGGTGTGAGACTTGCCATTCAGCAAAATGTATGATATTAGTCTTTAATTTTATTCTACAAACTGCATTATTTAAAGCAATGTGTTGCCACTGCTTGAAGTAAAATAATTTTTATCTTACCTGTGCCATATTGCCCTTCTTTAAAGCATAGGATATTTAACTTCCAAATTTAATCTTTCTGATATTCACTAACAACACAAACAATTGAAAAGCAATAAACACAGTTCTTAAAAATCTTTTTCCTCCTTTTAAATCATGAAATCATAAGATCACAAGATTTAAATCATCCAATTAGAAATATTAAAAATTTTTAGGAAATAATACAAACTGTATTCATTAAAATCATTATATATGTATTTTTTTCATTTTCATAGTAACTATTTTATGTGGTTGGTGGTGCAAGTCTGTTTGTATGTCTCTTACATTGCAGAAAACTAGCAGCACCTAAAAACACCAAATTTTAGACATACATAATCTTCCACCTGAACAAGTGCACCTTTAAGCCAGAATTTGAGTTTTGAACTTGTTTTTGATTTATTTCATTGTATGAATTTAATGGAGTTTTGATTAACAGACTCAGCAATTTGAAAGCAAGAAGTAGAATCCACTGCCTGAAGTAAAATACAGTTATTTCTATGCTGCAGTGTATTGCCCATTGCACAAAAATAAATCCATATTCAGTGTAGAAGATACCAAATGCCTGTTTATCACAGGTGAGATCAGGGTACGGACACCCGTACGGCTTTCATTGACTATTCGAGTATTGTCCGGATCCCGCAGCTGTCCAGAAAAACATTGCCAAACAGGGGCTGATGTTGGAAGACAGACGTATTACGGATTTTAACAATACCAATGCTTATTATACAATATATAACAATTATAGATACTTTACATCATGAAGTTGTGTTAATATGTTGAATTACCACAGTATTAATGTTCTATATTATATATTAATATATTAATCGTGCACTCGATATATTAATATATACAATACGGTACAAAATCCATAATCCGGACGTCCATTATCCGGAATGATCTATAATCTGGACCTCAAAGCCACAACGTTACGCATGTGCGTAAAGAATGCGCATACATTATGCATGCACTTAAAGAATGAGCGCAATGTATGCATTATGCATGCGCACATTGAATGAAATGTTCAATAAAGTAAACAAATAAATATTAGGCTTTTTTTTTTTTGTAAAATTTGATACCCTTTAGATCATAATTGCTCTTTATTTCGTAAATTACGGTTCATATTTTTAACTGTATAATTTCTGTATGCCATCTTACCAGATTTAAATTGATGATCCATAATCCGGAAAAACCCCTAATCCGGAATCGCTGAAGTCCCGACGAGTCCGGATTACGGACTTTGTACTGTAATAAAATTTCCTAAACTCTACAGACATATTGAGTAGTATCAGTGCACATTATGGAACTTATAATTATATACAGTATACATTAATAAGATATGCATACATACATTACATTAATACATACATATCATAAAAGACGCATTCGATATACTAATACATTATACATTAATAGTGCACTCTATATTAATACATACAATAATAAAATTACCTAAACTTGACAGGCGTATTGCAGATAGTACCAGTGGCACATTGTGCAACTATATACATTAAGAATACACACATACATTACATTAATACATTATACATAATACATTTTTCATTAATAATGCACTCGATATATTAATACTTACAAAAATAAAAGTTTTTAAACTCTACAGACATATTGCGGAGCAGTAACAGTACAGATTATGCAACTTATAACTATATACTTCATTATACATTAATAATACATGTATACATACATTACATTAATACATACGTGACATAAAATATGCATTCCCTTATTTGATTAGATTGAGTGTTAAACTTATGTATTAACATTACATTAACTGGTATAACAATATTAATGCATATGTAAGAGTTAGGTCTCCTATGGCTGGATGGGACTGTGTTCTGCACTGTAGAGTTCATTGCCTAGCACTTGGAGTTTTAGCATCTTTAGATGTATTTTCCTCTGTATTGAAGGTTGCTTGACCATAAATCTTTTGTAGGCGGCTGTATTTTTAGTTAGTTGGCAGTGTGTGGTGAATGACTGTTGTCTCGCGTAAGTGGACATGATGTCGGATAATGATCAGGATCGTCCATGCCTCCGCATACACAGACGTTTTTAGTTGTTAAGTGTCCATCATAAAAGTAACTGGGAAATGGTCCTTGTCCAGTTACGAAGAACATTATATGCAGGTCTGATATTAACCTGTCTGGACTGACCCTGTGGAAGAACTCGTACGTGTGTCTGCCCTGTGGGATGAAATCTCAGTTCTCTTGGCAGTGAATTACAGCATCCTTCCACCTTGTCCTTTTAATGCTACTTTTAGGGAGCAGCACTTCTATTTGTTGCTCATCTAGGTTCTGCACTGTCTCTTTTGCTAGTAAATCCACCTCCTCATTTCCCTGGTGCCCAAAATGAGCTTTAATCTAGGAGTGGAGATGCCGACAATCTGCCTCTCAGGAGTGCTTCGATTTCTGCAAAAAGTGATCTGGGATGAAAAGGATTCCTTATTGCACAGATGGCCAATTGTTTGTAAGTGCATTAAAAATTTTGGCTGTTAGCGGCTGCATAAGACAGCGCTTGTTTCAAGGCTGCTGCTTTTGCCTGGGAAACAGAGTTGTTTCCCTTCAGGTTCCATTTCCATGTTGTCCCTTGCCTCTTGGCGATGAAGCTGCACCCCACCTGGTTGTCAAGCTTCAAGCCATCTGTGTAAATGCATACTTCTAAGTTATCCTCTCTGCCGGCGATGTAGTCAGTATGCGCATGCACTCCTCTGCCATATTTTGCGGGAGGAACTAGTCTTACTGTTCTTTTTTCTTCAGTGTGTGCAGGGATATAAGGCTGCCCTCTATACGATGACTGCTGTCTTAATAAAGTCACTTATGTTATTGCAGCCTCTTGTTCCGCTTTGGTGCAGAGAGGCATTATGCCCGCAAGCACTGTTGCCGCCATCGTTTCGGTTGTGCAGTATGCCTTTGTTATGGAAAGTGTATATGGTCTTTGTATGATACTTGGGAGTTTCAATTTCCTGGAGGTCATTGGAGTTGCCCAGACTGCTGCTGTGTAGGTTTCTACTTTTTTAATTACCGTGCATTACAGGATCTTCAAGATATGCGGTTAGAAACCCCAATCTGCTCCTTGCATCCTCTTTAGATGTTTGGCGATAGCGTGGGGCTTCAGTCTCAACCCCTTTGGGTACTAGATCCAGGTAAGTTTCTCATCTATCATGAGTCCCAGAAGCCTCAGTTCTTTTATTCTTTTTATTGTGTTCTCCTTGAGTTTTATCACTGGATTTTTGGATGATCGTCTGCCACGGCTTTTGGATTACGAGGTATTTTGATTTTGTGTTCGAGATGGTAAGGAGCTAGCACTTTATAAATTGTCAAAGAATTCGATTGTTTCATTGTTGTTACACTGAAGCTCATCATGCATTCTTCCACAGACTACGAATATGGCGTCATCTGCAAATGCTACCACTTTGGTGTGATTTGCATTAAGTATTGAACTAAATGTGACATTCCAAAGGTCCGGCTCTGCGCAGGACCTCTGGAGACAGCCTCTGTTCTGCATCTTCTTGATGACACCTCTATCATGCATTTCCACGAAGGTGCGGTCCGTTAGATAACTCTTCCACACCTGTAGCGGATTGTTTGGGGTTTGTGCATCATAAAGGGCCTCCATGATGGCCGGCCACCATAATGCTCTTTTAGCCTTCTTAGCGGCTCAGGATTTTAGATCCGTCATGAAACCCAATATTTAAACAGCATTGAGTTTGTATAATTACTTATTTTAGTCTGTGTTTTCATAAACTTAAATTCATCAAGATGATATTTACATTATTAAAGAAAGTAAGAAAGAAAAATATCTTAAATTATAAGCTAATACAGTCAAAAGTTGTTAATCCAGACTCATCGGGACTTCGGCGATTCCAGATTATCGATTTTTCCGGATTATAGATCATCAGTTTAAATCTCGTAAGATGGCATGCAGAAATTATAAAATTAAAAATATGAAACCGTAATTTATGAAATAAAGAACAATTATGATCTAAAGGGTATCAAAATTTACAAAAAAAAAAAAAAAAAAAAAAAAAAAAAAAAAAGCTTAATGTTTATTTGTTTACTTTATTAAACATTTCTTTCAATGTAAGTTGTTTAAGTTGCTTCGTTTTATGTGATAATACTTTCTCTTTAATTCTATAAACAGACATAATTTCTTGTTCAGTTACAAAGTTCCCCTGTTCAAGTCCCGTTAATTGCTGTGCCGAGAATACCGACTAACTTGTCAATCGAAATTTTTTCGTTTTCACTAACCTCTCTGTCACATTCTTCATGTCTTTATCCATTTTTTGCAGCAATTCCACTTTTTGTTTGTTGGACATCGAACCATACTTTCGTTTTCTAGATCCTTTGGAAGTTCCAGCATCGGAAATTCTATTTGACATAATCGAAAGTTTACTTTTATAAAATTGCTCTTACAGTCTGCAAAAAATAATAAGCGGGATCCAATTCGAAGATTAAGAATAATGCAATCATTAACATTAACTGAAATAGATAATTAGATAATTTTAGCATACACCGTCCGTTATACATTAAACGCGCAGGCGAAAACGTATTCTGCACTTGCGCACACGCGTATGCACAGTAGTCAAGGTATTACGCGCACGTGTAAAACGCCTGTGTGCATGTGCAGAAAGTTTTTAGCTTTGAGGTCCGGATTATAGATCATTCCGGATTATGGGTGTCCTAATTAATGACTTTTGACTGTATATGCCAAGTAGCAAAACTTCTGATGACTGGATAAAGCCAGTCATAACACCCAGAGGGTTAAGGTCCTGACTTAGAACTGCCACATAGACCACATAGACTTATTGTCCAGGAAATCTGGTCCTGCGACTTTCCACCTTGGGAGAATTTTTATCACCGCACTGATCTCGAGTTGCGTAAATGGAACATCATTTCTCGTTTCAGTATGCAAGTGGTATGTCGTGTTTTCTGCGAGTGATTGTCCTGAAAGACAGCATCGAGGATTGTCTTCAACTTTTCTGCCGTGGTGCTGTTGTATTCTGCTGTATTTCTTGCACTATTTGAGCTTTGTGGATATGCTTGAGGCTGTGGAGTAGAGAAAACTTTGTTTGTTGCAATTTTATGGAGGATTCCATAAGGCTCTTTATTTTGCATGCAGGAGTTTCTCCAGTTTTTTAGCTTCGCTTTGAGGATCACTTGTTTGCAGGCTGCTTACTCTTTATTATAAATAATGCTGATTGCCTTTCTTCTGTCTTGATCCCTTTCAGCTTTCATCTTCTTTCATAGAGCTTTGGTTTTACTCCTTTGAACCTTAAGTTCTTTGGTCCACCAGTTGGCAGCATGGAGGGCCTTGGACATTTTGAGTTGGAATGTAGCATCACACACGCATTGGAGCTGCCTTACTATATGACGTGTAATCTGGTCTATGGTGTTGGTATTATGACAATCCGCTAGTTCTTGTTCTATTCAAATAAGAACTTCACGAGCTTTTTTCAGTAAAGACTTTCAGTTTGCTTCTCGTGAGTCTGTATCTTTTGATACAGTACTTAGCATGTATTTACTTAGCTTACTTAGTACTGGCGAGGCTATTCCTCCATTTGAGCTGGATCAGGAAATGCGCTATGCATACCAACAGCCTGGCTCGTTGCCCATATTTAGAGACAAATTTTTTACTCATACTTTCCTCGTATCTCAAATTTCTCATATGGAGAGGTGCTCGTATATTGGGTTTCCAGTGTATTTTGTGATTTTTGTCACTTGAATGTATTGTAGTTGATATTTGAGAAAATAGCCAGTTCTCCCAAATCCAGATGTAGTATTTAAATTAAAAGTGAATAATTAAAACAGAAACAAATAATATATTTCATGGTGAACTGTGCAAATTTTTTAGGCTTCTGTTTTCTTAGGTTATGTTTCAGTATGTGAAAAAAGTTTGTAAATAAACAAAGGTATCAGTTAGATCAAACAATAGAAAAAATGTTGATTTTTTTTTTATAACTGAATATGGCAAAACACCTTAAGGTTTTCAGATGCCTTTGCAGACAATTTTCTAAGTTATATATATATATATATTGCATATGGGAAAAACAAAAGATACCCAACCCATGCAGCCAGTCTGTTTACCAGGATCTAAGCCTGGGTTAAACAATCAAATGTTTAGTAGTCTTATCCTCTTAGTCACTCCTAGGCATTTGAACGGAATATGTAGTAGTACTGACTATTTGTTTTTAATTTACTTATTATAACAATTATTACGAGTAATTTTTGTTTTAGAAATCAAGAAAATGGAAATGTGGCCAGTTGCTCAGCAAGTGTACAAGAAAGAGCTGAAAAACTATTATCCATACACAATCTAATTAACTCTGTTTATAGAAAAGTCATAGAGAGCAAAGATAGTTCATATAGTGAACGGTCAAGCTACTTTCCATGGCGTAGATGACATGAAAATGTCCTATTGCTTGTTAGTGTTAAGTGTTTTATCCTGATCTTCATATAAATCTGCATTTCTGGTTAATTTAAAGCAAAAAGCACCAGTTTTTTTTTTTTCTTTATGACTGTTATTGTATGAAGTAGTAAAAGATTTTACATGCATGTCTTTTTTATATTTTGTGTCACAGAATTTTGATTTTCTTTTATTAATTCAGTTTTATATAAAAATTAAAGTGTTCTAAATTTTGCATTACATTGTATGTATGTGATAATAAAAAATAATAACATTGAATTGCAATTCGATGTAAGTAATATGTATCTACTAAAAGCTTTATTATGAGTGAGAGTTTCTGAAACTTTTTCTTCATTTGAATCTCGCCCCCCCCTCCCAATCAAGCTTAAGTTTTGAAGTTGTAAATTGATTTTGGTTATTTTATCTCAGTTGTCTTTTTTTTTTTCTTTCTTTTTTCTACATTTTTCCGTAAGCAAGGATGGAAAAATTGAGGATAATTATTTATTTAGAATTTCTTTTCTTATATTATTTATTTGTTGCTTTGGTGATTTGGAAGAAATTGTAGACTGTAATTTTTTAATGGTCATTGTTCTAGATGTGCTGTGATAGATAACAAAGGTGATTTTTTTAAAATCTTTTTCTCTCTCTCTCTTTTTTTTTTTTTAAATATACACGTATATGTCTGATTGTTACTACAGTGTGTATTTTTAAAATTCAATGTACAATTAACAGATTAAAAAAACATGTTTTGATTGTACTATTTAATGCCATATATAGTTGTAAACATGAAAAATGATAATTTATTTGAGTTATTTGTTGTAAATTTCAAAATAAAGACTTAAATAATTTTATTTAATAATATTTTAATAGTTTTGAACTGTGGACTTAATAGTTCCCAGTGGATCTTTCTTTGAATTCTAAGTTGAGGTGTAAAACTATATACAACCTTGAAATAAAGTTTTAAAATCTTTATTTATACACACACATCACTGCCATTTTTTGATATACTTCATATGAATGTTTGCTACTCATCTTGTAAATGCTGAAGTCTTGTGCTTGCAAAATTTGCCATTTAGATGTGAGCACTAAGGAAGGTAATTTTTTTGTTATGAAGACTTGAAAAATTTATTTTTATACATGTTGAAATTTGTCCTGGATTAAGAAATTTTATTATTTTTTATATTGCTTTATAATTACATACTGATGTGACATTTTATTCAGATTTAGCTTAAGTAGTTATGCAAATCCGTTTTATAGTACTATCATTATTTCTAAATTTCTTTTATTGTTAAAGATTTGCATTTCTCTACTTAATTTTTTAAAAATATTTAAATTGTTTTTTGATTTCTCCATAAAATTAAAATTATGTTTTGATATTTAAAAAAAATTAATTTTAGTTATTGTAATAATATTGCTCTTGAATACTGTTTAAAATAAAAGTAAAAATCTTCTAAAAAGTATCTTTTAGTGCTCAGTGTATTATAAAAGCATTTTTTCATATATTTATATAGATTTCGATTTAAAATTGTGTGTAAAAATGAAATCAAATAATAAAAAAATTTGGATATAATATGCTGTTTAAGATATTTGATCTATGTGGCTTCTATCTGCACTAACTGCAGCTTTGCATTTCCTATGTAAATCATGATGCCTTAGGTGGTTAAAAGTCATAAGTTGCTGTGTAGAAATGACTCCAAAGGCCTTTTACAGAAATAACTTTAACCCTTTCCGGCATGCTACCTTTTAAAGTTGGAATTTCAATTTAAAAAAAGGCAGGCCTAGAGGAGTACACAAGAAAATTTTGTGAAGATAGCATTTATCGTTTTATACGGGCACATTGATTGAATAGAGCTTCGAAAAGAGTACTGAAATGAGCATTGCTGGGAAGCGCGTAAAAGAGTAAGAGATTTTGCCTACAATTAAAAAACACTACATTCTGAATACTGTAGCATATTTAGCATTACCCAGGTGTGCCACGGGAAGACCTGTTACTCTACACTCCCCTAAAAAGCTCTTTTTTTAGTTACATGATGATAACATGCATATGAATGGGAAAAAAAAAAAAGTAACTTGGGTATATGATATTTACATTATTTACATTTCATATTTACACTTTAGTCTATTTTTTTTTCATGGTGGTACTTTTCGAAAAAAGTGACAACACCTTTGGAAAAGCACAACCCAATATTCCATGTTTTGCACATGTGCCGGTATCCGTATTAGATTCACTATCTGAAAGCAATTCGTGTAGCACTTTTAGTGCTTCAGAAATAGTTGGCCCTCTCCGATCCGTTTGAAAACTAATTAAAAAAAAAAAAAAAATCTGAAATGTTTCAGATTTTAAATTACGTCCAAAGGGGCGTTTTTTAACATTTTGTGTGTTACCTTTCTTTATTAAATATCATGTTCCTCGCACTTAAACCATAAGATCCAGTGCAACAGCAATATCGCAAAATAAGTTTTAAAAAACGAGCATATCTTTAGAATTTCCGATACAGAGACTCACGCGCTGGAGATAAAAATGTTTTTTTCTTTGCTTTTTTCATACTGTTGCCATTGCTCGCTTTGAAATCCTTGAGTTTGTTAATCAAAATTCGTTCAAAGTTTTAAAAAATAGGAAATCGATAATAAAACAAATTTCAAATTTCAAATTGGTCTTCCACATGCTCATATTCGTTGGAGGATTACGTTATTCAAAATTCGATGACTATATGTACCGTTGTTTTATCACAATGCGAGAAATATACATACATTTATGCAGATTTTTCATTATTTAATTTCTTCAAATATAATGCAGGACTCTAACATTTTGTGGCAACAGTTTTGAAAAGTGAACCGACATTTATGAGTGAGCCGACGCAAAATGCCAAAACGAAACTAATAGTCCTTCGGGATTCAAATTGCCCCTTTGGACTAATAATAAATAAATAAATAAACTAATATTATATCTACAATTAGAAATTATAAACTATAAAATAAAATTAAATGATACGTCTACAACTCAAAACTATTAAACATAGCAGCTCTAGCGAAACTTTGAACGAAAGCGAAAGAGAAAAAGAGAACTGCTTTAGTGAAAAACCAAACAGCTAACTGATAAAATTACTGTAGACCTTCAGAAAATCACCCCAAGAATTTGTTAGTTGATAAACAAATGTCCCTCCCCCCCCCGAAAAAAAAGAGAGAGAGAAAAGAAGAAAGAGAAAAACAGGAAATGAAACACAGATGTGGACCCACCTTTCTGTTACGGTCAAATGCACACCTGATCAATCTGAGATAGGGTGAAGGAAACAAAGAATACAGGACTCTCAGTTGTTCTAGATTATCAGTGAGCTCGGTCTGGGCACACCTGGGGTTCGCCATTTGATTTTAGGCAAGATCTCAAAGTAAAAATTTAAAAATAATATAGAATAAGGAGATTAGCATACAGCCAAAAAAATAACATAGAAATTGCTTTTCAAACAATTCCTTTTATTCCTTAAAAAAATATGGAAAATTTCTTTGAAAAATGAGGGTCTTAAAAAACTTATGGACTGGTTTGTTTTGAGCTGCCTTTAACTATAAATAAAGAAGGTTCAGAGTAACCCATGAATCCTTTTTCATTCAATTTTTCTGTGCGTACAGAAGGAAGTTTTTAGGTGTGCCCATACCGGGCATACTGTGTCACAAAGGTTTAAAGGAGAGCATAGCTCAAATAAAAAAAAGGGGGTGGGTTGAACAATTTTGCAGGGATATTATAAAATGTATTGTTCTAAAGACGGAAATTAAAAGACTCGTTTTAGTCCAAAGGAGCTTTGTCCTGGAAGGACTATTGTTTTCGTTTTGCATTGGTTTGCTATAAATGTCCGTTTTACTTTTCAAACTGTTGCCACCAAATGTTAGAGTCCTGCATTATATTTGAAGAAATTAAAAATGAAAAATCTGCATAAATGTATGTATATTTCTCGCATTGTGATAAAACAATGGTACATAGACCCATCAGATTTTAAATGATGTAATCCTACTGCGAATATGGGTATGTGGAAGCCCAAATTTGAAATTTAGAATTTGTTGTATTATGGATTTCGTATTTTGTAAAACTTTAACGAATTTTTGATTAACAAACTCGAGGATTTCAAAGCGAGCAATGGCAATGTTGTACAGGAAAACGTTTTTTATCTCCAGCATGTGAGACTCTGTATCGGAAATTCTAAAGATATGCTCAATTTAAAACTATTTTCCGATATTGCTCTTGAACTGAATTTCATGGTTTATGTGCGAAGAACGTGATATTTAATAAGTAAATGTAACAGACAAAATGTTAAAAAAAGCCCCTTTGGATGTAATTTAAAATCCGAAACCTTTTAGTTTTTTTTTGTTTGTTTTTGTTATTTTTAAGAAATAGTTTATTTTATGAAATTTTTGTACTGGAAAATTTAAAAAAAAAAAAAAAAAAAAAAGTTTTGGTAAAGAAGGATTATTGAGAGAATTGGTAACTGAATAACTGAATCTATGGTATTTGTGTACAGTGTAATATACTTTTGAATGTATACTACAATATTTTAATGCAGTAAAACATTTATAAAATTTATCAGTTAATTTAGGATTGAGACTTAAAAAAAGATTAACTACTAAAATTTTGTAGTTTTAATTATAAAATTAAACCATATTTCTATCATTTGAGTATATATTTTGCAGTATATATGAAAATAACCATTTTATAACTAAAAGCATTTTCTGTTCAAATTGCTTGATAGAGCATCACATTGGGACAACATATCCTTGCACTGCCGATGCTGGATGCTTTACTCATCTAACAATCTATACAAACAGCATAAGATATGGGTTTATTAGGTGGTCGCCAATAATGCCCGCTCAAATATTGACGAAAAACTGGTGTTATATTATGCGTTTATAGGTACTTCTCGAGTTGTCCATTGCCCATGTATGTGTTCTGTGTGCATTGTAGCAGCCTTCTTTGCTAAAGTGTGCATCATCAGTGTACAGGATAACAGCCCGAAAATGAGGCTTTGTCTATACTTCTGTTTGTACACTTCAGTAAATGCAACTTATGGCCATAATCAGCTTAAAGTGCTATACACACTGCTCTTAACATGGAAACAAGTGGTTTGAGTGCAGGATTTTCCAGATGATGGTTTGGGAAACTGCGAGGTTTGTAACAATCGCTTGTGGGCTGACATGTAAATTTCTTTCTGTATAATAGAGCACACAATCCTTCTACTTCAGGTGTCCATGTCATTTGTTCTCAATTCTGTAGACTTACCCGAAAGATTCTGTATTGTACAATCTTTTATGCAGCCGTGCAAACATCTGTTGATTCAGAATCTTCCTATTCAGGTACTACTTGCTGTACAGGTGCACATTGGATTGTCCATTAAAATCAGCCGCAAATATGCTAGATGCATACCATATATAAGCTGATCTGTGTAAAGCGAGAGTGCGATTTTTCTTAAAAAAATTACCTAAAATTCAAAACTTGTACATAAGCCAAAATTGGGGGGGGGAGGGGAAGAAAATCCTATAATATTCAAACATGTCGCTTTGAGAGTGAAAATGTTGTCAAGCAGGTAACATGGGTATGATATTTCCGTATGAAATTGCTGTAAAGTAAAACTCCAGACCCTAACAATGATAGTTTTAACACTGGTTACTCTACCTGAAGTACTATACACTGTACTTGGTTACTATACACTGTTCTTTCCATTCCATGTTTCTTGTACAAATTCTGTGGTAGTTTGCGCTAATTGTATTTTCGTTTTGGTGATAGCTATATCAAAAATCAACTCATTTTATTTGAAATTATTTTTTAAATAAACTTAAAAAATGCAAACTAAAAAATAAAAAAGTACTT